TCCCCACAATTTTGAGGTTGCAAAAGTAGCCCTGATATTACTGTCTTAACTAGTAAATTGATCATTTATAAAATTAGCTCTCACGCAAACATTCCTCCCTGGTAACTGCTGTATCTATTCCTGCCTATGTGTTTTGGGGTCAGATATCCAATAATACCATACAAATCCGTTGCAAAGTGAAATTGCAAATCTTGCAAAAGCTGCAGGATTTAATGATGCCGTTAAAAGTGATATTGGAAGAGTACCAGAAGTGGTAATTATGTGGGTAAATATAAATGATTTTTTTTATTATTTAAATCTCTTTAAAAGATAATTGCCTGCTTATGCAAAAACAATAACAGTGTATTGTGGGGTTTATAACATATGTGGAAATAAAGAGTATGACAACAAAAAGATGAAGGCTGGGAGGAAAGAAATGGAAACGTACTGCTGTAAAGTTCTTACACTATATGTGATGTGGCATAATACCACTTGAAGATAGACTGATAAGGATGTATGCTAAAATCCTAAAGAAATCACTAGAATAACACAACAGAGTTTTAACTAATAAGCCAACAAAGGAATTAAAATGGAATACATACATACCTAATTCAAATACTCAATCCAGAAGAAGGCAAAGAAAAAGGAAAAAAGGGAACAAAGAACAGATAATGTTATGAATTGAATTACGTCCCCTCAAAATGTGCGTCAGCTTGGCTAGGCCATGATTCCCAGTATTGTGTGCTTGTCCTCCATTTTGTGATCTGATGTTATTATCCTGTGTGTTGTAAATCCTAATCTCTATGATGTTAATGAGGCAGGATTAGAGGCAGTTATGTTAATGAAGCAGGACACAGTCTCAGGATTAGGTTGTATTTTGAGTCCATCTTTTTTGAGATATAAAAGAGAGAATTGAGTAGGGAGTAGAGGGACCTCATTACCACCAAGAAAGAGGAGCCAGGAGCGGAGTGCATCCTTTGGACCCTGGCTCCCTGTGCTGAGAAGCTCCTAGACCAGGGAAAGATTGATGGCAAGCACCTTCCTCTGGAGCTGATAAAGCAAAAGCCTTCCCCTGGCGCTGGCGCCCTGAGTTCAGACTTTTTGCCTCCTAAACTGTGAGAGAATAAATTTCTGCTTGCTAAAGCCATCCACTTGAGATAGTTCTGTTACAGCAGCACTAGATAACTAAGACAGATGGGAACAAAGAGCGAAATGGTAGATTAAACCCAACCTTATCAATAGTTACACTAAATGTAAATAGTCTAAACACCCTAGTTATAAGGAAGACCAACTATATGATGTGTACAAGAAACTCACTTTTAATGTAAAGACACAAGACGAAGTAAAAGAATGTAAAAAGATATACCATGCTAACACTAATCAAAAGAAAGCTGGAGTGGCTATATTAATATTAGACAAAATAGATTTCAGAGCAAATAACGTAACCAGGGAGAAAGAGGGACATTTCATAATGATAAAGGGTCAATTCATCAAGAGTACATAACAGTTTTAAATGTTTACTTACCTAAAAGTGATGGTGGAGATCTGTGCAGTTGATAGCAACACCGTTGGCAAGTGAAGCTCTGACCTGGTTATTTCACTTTGTAGTGGAATAGAGAAAATTGATAAAGCTGATGACACAAGAAAAGGCTTTGACCACTAAATTGATGGAGCCCTAAAATAAATTCTTTTCAAAAATGACCCTTCTTAGGATAGTTCTGTGAAACTCAATCTTGTGGTAAAGGATATTTTACTGCATTCAGTTCTGTTGGAAAAAGTTCTGCCAACAAAACAATACTTGATTAATCATGAAAAATGTGTTCATAGGTAAACTCCATGTGTGCTTAGAGTGAGCTGTGGTTTAATAACTTCCACACTTGGCAGAACACTCAGGTGAGGTGGATGCTGTGCATCAGTTACTCATCGAGCCGGTAGTCCCTTTTTTGCGCTTACAAACGCAGCCGTCATCCTGCATTTTGTTGCTGAGCTCAAACCCAGCCTCATCACTTACCAAGTGACTTTGGACCACTTGCTTAACCACTCATAGCTGCTGTTAAAATGGGGAAACTGTTGCACCTCCCAAGATGGAAGTGACATCTCAAAGAGAGGAGACAAGTGAAGGTGTCTGAACACACGAAAGCTGTATGCAAATAGCGATTTTTATTTCCCTTTGGTGTTTATTGTGCTTTCTCAAAACCAGTGCAATGCAGAAGTGCTAGGAAGAGGAACGTGTTAAGACATCTTGGAACAGGAGCGCCTGTTGTACTTAGTGTATACACCCGTTGGCATTTTCTGCAGCATTTCTGTTTCTTCTGAGTCAGAATGAAAAGAATTTGCTGAGATATCTGCCAGGGAAATGGGTTGTGTGGCCTTTTGTGATCTGTCTATCCCCTAAGTTTATCAGAATTCTAATGAGAGTGCACTGTTTTATATCTGAAGCAACATTTAACATGGGAGAATCTGTTTTTGTTTGTAATCACCTGCTTAGCTTACCGACAGCTTAAAAATCTTGCAGAGAGGTCCTAATTATATTTATTTAGTGCTGAATGATACTTTATACTAAGATCCTAAGTTCTGAGCATTTATGTTTAAAGACAAAGTACAAGGCAAAGAGAAAGGAGTGATAAGAAGATGGATTGCAAAGAGAAAAAAAGTGAAAAGCTTTATCTGGGCAATAGGAAGGTATAGGAAATAGATCTGGATGTATGGGTGAGCAGCAGAGAGAAAATTAGCATTACTGACAGATTAAATATGCTTTTATAACACAGCAGTATAGAATACACAATAATAAAACGTAAAATTGATTGGCCTGCTTTCAGCATTTTATATGGCTTATCTTTTTTTAATCTGCCTAACAGCCCTGTGCAATAGGTAATGTTATCATCCTTGATTTTATGGATGAGGAAACAGGCATACAGATGTTAAATAACTTCCCCTAGGCTTTCAGCTAGCAAGTGGCAGAGCTGGATTTGAATCCAGATGAATAAAACCAGAGTTTGCTATATGCACACAGTTATTTCTCAGTGAATATTGAATAACAAAATCTTTTGGAACAGGGCATTATCCAGCATGATGCAGAAAGTAAACTATTTCCTTGGATGAGTCTTTAAGGGGAAAGAGGTAGCTTAGTGGATGAGAGTAATAAAAAAATTATATGGTGAGGAAAGGAGAATAAATGACATTCCAAACACAGAAATGTTTATGCTTCTGATAGAAAGGTGTGAACTCCTGTAGGCCACTGGTTCCTCACCTTGAGCATACATCCCCAGAGCTTCTGGAGCCTGAGAATGTGCATTTCTCACAAACCCCAGGTGATACTGATGCTGCTGCTCTGGGACCTCACTCAGAAAATCACTACAGACAGTTGAAGAAAAGGTAGAGATACGGTCAGTGTGGTCAAGAGGAATTGATCTAGGTAGCAGCATTCACAATGCTGGGGAGAAGGGCGTAAAATCAGAATTTTTAAAAAGTGTGGCGATAGTTCAGTTCATGTTTTAGAACTGTGCAAGATAAAGCACTGCTGCTAAAAGTGGCTGGGGAGTGGTAAGGAAGGATGTAGAAGACTTGTAAAACTCCCTTACCATGTAGCTTAAAGGCAGGTTTCAGGTATTGCTAACATCTAGAACAGAGCCTGGCCTGTAATAGGTGTTCAATAATTATTTGTTGCATGCATGAGTGGATAAACAGAAGAATGAATTAAGAACTCCATATGTTAAATCCACTCAGCATTTGATACATATATATACTCTTATTTTTCTAGATCTGTCACATACAAGGAGCCCTGGTGGTGCAGTGGTTAAGAGCTCAGCTGCTAACCAAAAGGTTGGCAGTTTGAATCCACCAGCTGCTGTTGCGATACCCTATGGGGCAGTTCTACTGGGTCCTATAGGGTCTCTGTGAGTCGGAATCGACTCCACGGCAACACGTTTGGTTTTTTTGGTCACATACAAACTTTTTTTAAATTTATCTTTCTGGTGAAGATAATTTTTGGAAAAAAAATCAAAATATACAAGTGAATATACAGTTAGTTTTCTTCCTAACCCTGTCCCTTTCCCCCAGTTTCTTTCCTTGCAGACCAGTCTAGGATACCAGTGTCTTGTGTATCCTTCCAGGATATTCTGTGTGTGCGTGTGTGTGTGTGCGCGCGCGCCTGTGTGTGTGTGTGTGTGAATTTTTAAAAACGTTAAGGTAGTATAGCGTACTATATCACTACTCAATACCTTACTTTTTTCATCTAACATTAAATTTTGTTGATCATTTCATACAGGTTATATTACATATGAGGCTGACTTGTTCTTTTTTTTTTAAACTGCTCATTTTGTTCCAAATTCCAAACTATGGAGGTACTGTTATTTAACCAGTTCTATATTGATGGACATTTAGGTAGCTTCCATTCTTTTCATTTAATTGACAATAGTTCAGTCAATGTCATTGTACGTACTTCTGTGTGTACGTATGTAAATAGATCATTGGATTAAAGAGTATATACATTTGTAATTTGGCAAATATTATCAGATTTCGTTCAAAGTAGGTGAATTAATTTATGCTCCCACCGACAGTATAAGAGCGAGCCTGTTACCTCCCAAAATAAAATAATAAAAAAATCCAAAAAAATAAAATAATACAAAAAGAGAGACTATTTTTCCATATGCTCAACAACAGAATGTTTTATGAAATTTTCTCTGTCAGCCTGATGAAAAATGGTATCATATTGCAGTTTTTATTTGTATTTCTCCAATTGTGAGTGGATTTTCACATGTTTAAATGTCAGTTGTGTTTCTTTTTTTGTGAACAGCATGCTCAGGTCCTTTGCTCACTTTTCAATTGTTATTTTCTTATGGAATCTTAGGAGTCTTTTATATACTGAGGAAATTCGTCTTTTGTGATATGTGATACAGTTTTTTTTTTTTTTTTTTACCAGTTTGTCATTTAATTTTGTTTATATTGTATGATTGTTATTTTAAAATTGTGCATATTAAGTGAAATTAAAATTGTTACCTGCATGGTTTGTTTCTACATAGGAATTCTTAACATTTGGGATCTAAGGACTGGAAGGTATCCTATTCATCGTTTTGAGCACGACGCAAGAATACAGGCACTGGCCCTCAGCCAGGAAGATGCAACTGTCGCCACAGCTTCTGCCTTTGATGTCATAATGTTATGCCCTAATGAAGAAGGATATTGGCACATAGCTGCAGAATTTGAAGTTCAGAAACTGGTGAGCTCCTAGTCTGGTCATTTTAGTTTTCATTCTGAGAATCTCTGCATTTAACGTAATAGATAGTAATGATGTTGACAGCTCCTGTTCACTCCAACCTTCCTGCGGGCTTTAAATCTGTGAATCTCATAACCAGAAAAACCAAACCTGTTGATGTCAAGTCGACTGTGACTCGTAGCAACCCTATAGAACAGAGTAGAACTGCCCCTTGTGGTTTCCAAGGCTGTAATTTTCACAGAAGCAGACTGCCACATCTTTCTCCCACGGAGCCACTGGTGGGTTCTAACCACCAACCTTTTGGTTAGCATCCAAGTACTTAACCACTGCTCCACCAGAGCTCCTTTAAATCTCATAACAGCCTTATGAAATAGGTAGTATTATGTTCCCCATTGACCAAGAGGAGCCCTAGTGGCACAGTGGGTAAGAGCTCAGCTGCTAACCAAAAGGTCGTCAGTTTGAATCCACTAGGCGCTCCGTGGAAACCCTATGAGGCAGTTGTACTGTGTCCTGTAAGGTCACTGTGAGTTGGAATCGCCTCAACAGCAGTGGGTTTGGGTTTGGGTGACCAAGAAGCAAACAGAGGCTTAGAGCAGTGAACTGACCTGCCCCAGCTCCCAGGGATTAGAAGTTGTGATTCAAACCTCAGGGCTGATTTCAGGGCTGACTCTCATCACTGTGGTCCTCAGTGTGCCTGTCTCAGACTGACATGATGGACTTTCACCCCTGGAAATCTGAGCTCAGTTTCTGGCCTAATAGATAAGTGAAAATGAGTTCAGAGGTGTCATCCCAGTCCATATGGGAAGGAAGGTTTCCATCCTACACTTTCTTCATCCCAAGAGTTTCTCACCTGGAATTAAGAGTAACTCTTGAGTGAAAACGATTTAAGTGGGTGTTAATTGGGTAGCTGTGTTCCAGGATGTTATGTGTGAAGCTGAGCCAGCCTTAAGAATTCTTTGCTTAGAGCTCTTTTCAGAGTTCAGTTGGTAGTACCTGTCTTGTTTGCACGCAGACCTCTCTATGTTTGTACGGTGGAAGAGGATTTGCTAGTATGAAGGCAAGTAGTATATGAAGGCTCAGATCTGTCTGTGCTGCATTTGTATCTAATTTAAATATACTTGATTTTGGCACTGATAGGAGAGTAAGCAGAAAAGTCAACATTGAAATAATGAATTGATGGCCTGACATGGAACAAATCCTTACTCCTTTCCCTTTTCCCCGGTGGACATCTGTTAGACTTGAATAACTTAAAAAGCCAGGGCATTACTGCATCTCCTTCATCAGCTTCTTGCCCCTTTAATGATCAGATCTCTGCATTTGGGATGTGGTGTTCCCCCAGAACTGCCTGATGTTGTCATCTCATCTTGGAGTTTTATTAGAAAAATGTGAAAGCACAATGATTTCTGTTTGTTCTCAAAACTACCATTGTGCTTATTACTTGGTCTCGGATTAAATAACACTAGATCAACAATAACTCTGTGAACTCAGTTACTTGAGATGTGAGTCCTTCTATAAAGTGTAAATCCTGCTTTGGCAATAGGTAGTGTCCTGGCACAGCTGAGCAGCCTTTTGAAGTCATTTGCAGCTCCCAGTGAATGGCACAGTGCCTTCATCCTGAGCCTCTTAGTGTCAGATAGCCACTGTGAAGATGAAGTCAAATAACTAGACTGATGATGCCAGTGGTAGGAAAATAAGGAATGGTTTTTAGAACAGGAGTGAGGAGAAGCAAGCAATCATCGCAGGAGCATGTTTGATTAACACTTTTTATGTATTATTTCTTGCCCTGGGTGCGGGGCTGCCACAGAACACGCTGAGTATCCCTGGAAAAGGTACTCCCTGGCCCGTAGAGCTGGGCCATTTTTGTTTTCCCCAGATACACTCCCTGAATAGCGGTGGCAATGTTCCCGGGTTTGTAATATTAGCCTAGTACATCCATCCTTTGTGATGGATCCACGGCTTGGGACGTGGACTGCCTACCACTCATGCTGTTGGGCCCCAGGATTAGCAGAGTCGCCCAGATATTTACTCTCTCCCAGCTCCTCTGAACAGTCTTCAGGGCTCAGGCTTTTGAACTCGTTTGGTGAATGCCGTCCTTTCACACTGTGGATTTTCATAATTACAGAGCATGGCTCACCTTCAGCATGCAGACTCTCCTGTTTACTCAGGGAGGATATAAACTGCGCTGGGGCAAGCAGGCTGCTTCTGGCAGGGTGTATAAAAGCAAATTCTTGAAGGGCACTCCTCAGACCCCAGCAGATTAGATAAAGTAGTAGGGATAATGTATGTCTTGAGTACTGTGGTAAAATAAAAATGCTTGTTTGTAATAGCCTTCCTTCCCTTGGATGGCCAGATGGACTCTGTGGAATCACCGTATTTTAACATTGAAACCAGGAGAGAGCAGATAGCACAGGTATTTTTAACCTTTAGCAAAACATTTTTTAGGGTTTACATAGATGTTAAAATATAGTTCTTGTTCATTTGTAACAAAGTAAATTTTATTTATTTTTTATTCCTTTTCTTGTAAAAAAAAATCAGCCTTAATTTCTTGAACAGTGATTATACTCTCATGGTTCATAACTTAAAAGACGTAAGGTTTACTGAGAAATCTCCCTTCCGTCCCATCCCACAACTGGTTTCCCTCCCTGAAGGCAGCCACTGTTAGCAGATTCATTCATGTACAAGCCAAGTACAGTACATCATACCCTTCCTCTGTCCCCACCTTTTATACATATGTTAGCACACTGACTCCTGGCCCTCACCTTGTGTCCTTGCTTCCCCCCTAAAAGTTGATCTTGGAGTTTATTTCATTTGCTTCACTTTGTAAAGACTATCTTTATGTGTTTTTCTGTGACTGCATAATATTCCATTGTTTAGCTGTAGTGTACATTATTCATTTAGTCCCTTAATAATGGATACTTAGTTTTTCCAGTGTTCAGCTGTAACAAAATAGTGCAGCAGTGAGTGACCTTGTATGCAGTCATTTTACATACATGTGATTTTCTTTGTAAGTAAATTCCCAGAAGCAGACTTACTGGACCAGAGCATATGTGCATTTGACGTTTTGATAAGTGTTGCCAGGTTTCCGTCTATAGAGGTTGGGCCAGTTCACATCCCACTAACGATAAGTGGGATCCATAAATGTGGTTGTGCCCCCCCACTTCCAGCCAAGTGTGTTATCAGACTTCTTGATCTTTCCAATATGACTGGTGAAAATAGTATCTCAGTCAGTTATTACATTGTATTCTCTTATTAGGCATGTACTGTGTTTTTCTTATGATGAGCATCTTTTCATTTATATCAGAGCTATTTGTGTTACATGTTTTGTGTCCTTTCCCTTTGCCCATCTTTTTCTGTTGGGCTGCTGGTCTTCTCATTGATGTGTAGGAGCAATTGTATATTTTTGACTAAGTTAACATGCATTTTAGGTGTGACCTCAAGAACTAAACAACTCCCATCCTTTAACAGGTTGACTACCTTGAAATAGTTCCAGATACTGGAAGGTACCCTGTGGCAATAGCCACTGCTGGAGATCTGGTCTACCTGCTAAAAGCTGAAGACTCTGCCAGAACCCTTCATTACGTCTACGGCCAGCCTGTCACATGCCTTGATGTCTCAGCCAACCAGGTTGCTTTTGGTGTGAAGAGTTTGGGATGGGTGTACGAAGGAAACAAGGTACTAAAAATAGCAAGATGTACAATTAATAAGAGCATAGTTTTTTTTAAGGAGGCTTAAAAAATTAAAGCTCTGATATTTTTCTGGATATACTAGGGTAATATATCAGAGTAGTTAAAAAAAAAAAATTCAGGCATTTCAAAAGGATGTAAAATGAAAAGTAATTGTTTCCATTCTCCTTCCTTGCCCTAGTCCCACTCCACAAAAGAAGCTATTAACATTGTTTAGATATCCTTCTAGAAAAATTTAATGTGTATGGGATCATAGTATACATAGTATTCTGTACCTGACATTTTCACACAATAATATACCTTAGAGACCATTCCGTATCAGCGTAGACCAAGTTCCCTCGCTGTAGGATTCCAGTGTATGCTTATAACCTATAGTTTTTGTTAATTTTTAATCAATCTCCTCACTGGTGGGCATTTAGGATGCTTCCATCTTTTGGGTATTACAGACAGTGCTGCAGGGAATATTGCAACTTGCAAAAGTCCTTGTGTAAGTATACCTCTAACATAATAAATCTTTGCAATTATATTGCTTGGTCAGAGGATATGTGCATTTAAGATGTTGATAGACATTGTCAAATTGTTCTCCAAAAAGGCTGCATTAAAATATACATTCTCACCAATAGTGCACATAAAGAGGCTTTCTGATACTCTTTGAGCCAGAAGCAGAAACAAGTTTTTAATTGAAATTCTTTGAATTATGACTGAATCTTATCACTGCCTAGCATTCTACTATGCTGACTGCAAGCCAAGTACTTAGCCTTAAACCTCATTTATAAAACTTCTCTTTCTCTTTTAGTGGGATCAGGGGAGAGAGGGAGGAGGGTGTTGCGTTTTGTTTTTCCTCCAGTTTGCCTGCTCCTGACCCTGTTGGCCGTCTCCTCTGACAACATCTTCTCCTAGGGGAGGAGCTCTGTTTTCCACATAGCAGTAGAGTGAGCTGGTGAGGGACCGGGCTGTGGCCCCACACTGCCTGCGTTCGAATCTCAGCCCTTCTACCTACTAGCTATGTGACCTTAAGCAAGTTGCTTCAACCTCTCTGTGCCTCAGTTTCCCCATTTGTAAAATGAGGATCATAATAGTATCTGTTTTGTAGAGTTGTACGATTAAATGAAAAAAATGTATGTAGGACTTTAAACATAGTGCCTGGCACATAAGAGTTAACTATCATTGTGTGCTTCCAGCTATTTCCACCACCCATAGTTCAGCTCTGGCCTTTGGTTTGATTCTGTACGTCCTATTTCCCCTACGATAAGTCACCTGTACTGACAGATCTCATTTATGTGAGTGCCACTGGTTTTGCATCCTAGTCAGTGCTCAAAGAATTGAAGCATCCTGGATTCCGATGATGTACTCTTCTGCTAGGAGGGCAGATAAAGCAGTAGAAAATGCATTTAGCTTATTTTAATTTCACTGTAGGAAGGTCCTCCCTTTGTGCTCAAGTCAGACTGTTTCCTTGGAGCATATCCAGCGTATTTTAGCTGGAAGATCTACGATGATACAACTCCTGTGTTTTGTCTTCCCAGGAAGTAGCGGGTAGGGGAAAGAATCAGTTTCCTAAGGCAGTTTCCTTTCTCAGACTTGGAAAAAACTTTCTTTCCAGATCGCTGGTGAGCTCATTTGTTGAGAGAGGAGAGACTGTTTGCTTTCTAATTTTTTATCCATTATGTTTTCAAATGTTGACTCTCTCCTTTATTTCTAGACTTCTCCACGTAGTGAGGTGACGGTTGTCTCTAACGCTCGCCTGGTTTAAATTTTTCATACACCTGGCAGGTCCTGTTTCTCATTATCTGAATGGATTTATTCCTGTAGTGATAACAATCATAGTGGATATATTTGAGAAACCAGTTAAAAGGATAATTCAGCACAAAATTAAGATGGGAGGATTCTTTAGATATGGATATAGGTTGATGCTTTTTTGGATGCCTCTCAAAATTGCCAGTCCAGTCAAAAGCATTAATTATAAGAATCAGCTGATTAATACATGAGTTCTATGAAAATTTGTTTTAAAAAGTTTATAGACCCTTAAATTACTTCTGACATTTTTCATTGGTTTTTTAAAATTAGGAATAGAAATAAATTAGCTTCAAGAAGATATCTAAATATCCCATTGAAAGCTAACAGTAGCATTTAGTCATCTAAATATACTTGGGGGTACAAGATCAAACCTCTGAGAACACTTGAGTGGGTGGGTGGCTGGTTGTTGGTAGTAACTGGTAATGACTTTGCAGTGAGATATTTCTCCAGCATGAATGCCACCCACTCAAACCTGAGAATCTCCAGTCTTCATTTATGGCACTGTCCTTATTTTTGCAGAGGCAGGACTTTCCATCTGATTGTGTTTAATGGATTGTTTTGAACTTCCTCAGAAAAACCTGCATTTGTAAGAAATGTAATTGCTGTGTATCATTTCTGTGAATTAAGCCCTGTCCTGATGGGTCTGGGAGATTTCCATATTGTCCTGCTATGCCATAATGAGATATTGTAATTCCCAAACAGTCTGATGTTCAGGACACAGTGTCACTGTGCTGGTGAATGCCATGTTTTGGCTGTGTTTGTGCTTTGCCTGGCATAGTGTGCCCCAGCACGTTTTATTAGGTTGGTGTCAGACCGTTAGCAGTGGAGTTTGCCTGGAGCTATGGACGCACTGGGGTTTGTGTCTCTGCCTCTGGCCTGTATCTCTAGGATGCAGATGAAGGCATTATGAGAACAGAGAGTTTGGTTTATCTTTGTTTGTACCTGGTACCGAACTGGGGTTTATCTACAGTCCATTACTGATTAACTGTGATAAAAGCAGACAGTGAAGTCCAAAATGTCAAAATCTAATTGTAGGCAGGAACTTAAATCTCTCTAACCTGTAGAAATATTACAGACGTGTTACTTGGTGTTTAGTTAGTGTCTTTGCACTATACAGTGACCATGTTAGCATTTTACAGGCACCACGGCTATATGAGCTTTGGGTAATAATGATTCAAATTCATCCATTCCTGTATCTGGCTCGCCAGCCCTTTGAGTATTCATCACCAAATGGTTATAGAGCCCCAGTTGTGTTTCTAGCATTGAAGTGTTAAAACAGCATTATGCACAGATTTTTACCAGTGAGTACTTGTTAGGTGACCTAGCTCTGTTTACAAATATGGTTTCCTAAGGAAATGAAACCAAGTAATTTAAGGAAAGCTTATCTATTTAATCTTTTCAAAAGGCTTGTGAATACAGCTAAGATAGGAAGGGACCAGAGAGAGAGATCTTGCATGTTCTGATATGTCTCAGTTTGCCAATGGGGCAGGGGTTCCCAGACTTGCATTTCAGAGGCCAGAGTCAAGGGCCACACTCTGGTTTGCCAGCATTTTCTTTGACCAAGTAAAGTCATAGAAAAAGTGGCTATTACCTATTTTCACCTTTTCATAAAAGATCAGCTCTTTAAACATCTTAATTAAAAAAAAAAAGAAGTATTTTCTGACTAAGTAATACATTAACCTCATTCAGAAATGAAAAGATAGGAAAGGGTGTACTGTGGGGAGACTCCATCCACTCCTTTCACCCTCCCCTCCAGTTTCTCTCCCTGGAACCAAACCAGTGTGGCCGGTTTCTTGTGCGTCTTTCCGGAGCTATTTTATACATATATAAACAAATTACTGGTGGCGCAGTGGTTAAAGCTCTTGGCTGCTAACCAGAAAGGTCGGCAGTTCGAACTTACCAGCAGGAGAAAGATGTGGCAGTCTTCTTCCGTAAAGATTACAGCCTTGGAAATCCTATGGGGCAGTTCTACTCCGTCCTGTAGGGTTGCTATGAGTCAGAGTTGACTCACCACCAGCAATGGGTTTTTTAAGCAAATTACCAATACATGTGCTCACTTCTCCCTTTTTTTTGTTTGTTATAGAAAGGCTTTTTTTATTTTAAAGTTTTTTTTTAAAATTGTACTTTAGATGAAGGTTTACAGAACAAAGTAGCTTCTCATTAAACCATTAGTACATATACTGTTTTATGACAATGGTTACCAACCCCACGACATGTCAACACTCTCCCTTCTCGACCTTGGGTTCACCTTCTCGACCTTGGGTTCCATATTACCAACTTTCCTGTCCCCTCCTGCCTTCTAGTCCTTGCCCCTGGGCTGGTGTGTCCCTTTAGTCTGATTTTGTTTTATGCGCTCACCCCTCTTTGTAATATAAGTGGTAAAATACCATATTATTCTTCTGCATCTTTCTCTTCCCTCAACAAAATCTCTTGGAGATTATGTCATCATTTCTTGTGACCTAATAAAGGGCCTCCTGATTTTTTTTTTTTTTTTTTGCAACTTCATGATATTCTACCTTGCTGGATATCCCTTAATTAATTTGGTTAGTCCCCTATTGGTGGACATTACATTGCTCCCAGTCTTTAGCTATTGCAAACAACACTTGGTCCACATGAGTGTATTTGTAGGGTTAGCTCCTCAAAGTAGACTTGCTGGGTCAAAGGGCCGTGTGCTTTCATCATTTTGTAGATGTTGCCCTTCATACCAGTTGTGCCTTGGGCAGTGGTGAATCAGCCCGCATCCCATCCTCTTGACCTCTTCTCTTGTGGCCTTTACAGAAAGATCACAACAAAATAAGGCTAGAAGGGCTGTACAGAGATCTGTCTGGGCCTGTCCTTCACTTGAATTATTTGGCGGCGTCCTGCTTCTAGGCAGATGAAATGACTAGAGCACAAGGCTCCACCTAGAATTGGTAGAGTGGGGCTGACAGCCATATGAAGTCTCGGTTATGGAGGAGAGAGCTGCAGCACACACTGACCTGTGCCCCTTCTTGGCTTATTTATACCGATTTGAGGGAGAGTCCGTAGCTCCCTTAAGCCAGTAAGTTTACCTGCCTCTTTTCTGTAAAATGAGGAGGGCTGAGCACAGTGGCCTTTGGGCTCGTCTCCTGTACCCACAGTCCTTGAATCTTTGATTACGTGACTAGGTGGTTTAAGCTGTTTTTCTGTCACCTGTGGAGCTGCACTGAGCTGATC